CACGTAACTTATGTCCACATCTGACGCAACAACCTCCATATTGACATCGATAACACTAGCACTGGCTGATTTTTGCATTTTTTCTTGAATGGGTTTTGAAAGGGATATATTTGTAAAATTTAAATTTTGCACAACTCCATTACATGTCGAAGTTTCTTCACTGTCTGACGTCATTTCAACATCTGAAGCTAAATTTTGGTTATTTGTTGAAATGGTCGCCTGATTCTTTGAGGTCATTTTTTTGTCATCTTCAACAATTTCAATGTCATTATCTTCGTTCTCGCTGTTCAACACAGAGCAACTTTCAGGAGGAGTGTGTAGATTTTTGGCGGAACTGGATTTCTTTGCCTCGTGTTCCCTGCAAATAAAATTCAAATCAAATGACATACATACAGTTGGCACAGTGGAGATGGCTACATTTCATCGAAATATGTAACAACTCATTTGACACAAACTAGGCCCTTTTCTCGATCAACAAATAACATTTTGTAAGACCGTCCCAGTAAGAGATAAACCGTCGCAGTAAGATAAACATTTCGTTTGTTAAATAGCTTTAAGACAAATTTACCCTACATTTTCATCTACTAAATTTAATAGGTTAGACTAGACCTAGTGCAACACTGACCGAGAGAGAGAGAGAGAGAGAGAGAGAGAGATGGGGTTTAATGTCTACTTGACACAAACTATATCATTTCGGGATTAACATATGGTTCAATTTTATTTCAATAATTCGCTTGCGCATAAGGGGTCTTCAGAGGACACCAGTTAACTCAATGACAGACCTTATGATACAACGTGCATGTGCGAACCATTTGGCCATCCCCGCCACCCCGTCACAGTGGAGCTATGGTCAGGAGATGATATCAATGATATACATGGGACCTAGGTTTTTTGTGTCATCCGAACAACAAGATGCTTTTCCTTCGCGGAGTCCTCCACATCAGACAGGGGGAAATCTTTTTAAACTAATGCAAAGAGACTATATTTCTGGTAACAATGGCCGGCAATCAGCAAAAAGACAGAGAAATGGGGTTTAACGTCACATGGTTCAATTTTACTTCAATAATTCCCTTGCGTGTAGGGATCTTTAGCAGTGGGAGGAAACCGGAGGACCCGGAGAAAACACATGTACAACTGGGGAATTGAAACCACGCCACTTGACTCAATGACAGACCTTATGATACAGCATACACATGCTAACCATTCGGCCATCCAACCCCGCTCACTTAGCAAATAGGATAGGTCTTCTGTTTGTCCAACTAAAAACAACCATCAACATAATTATTTTCAATCACTGGACAATAAAACCAAACACTCAAAAATGGTCCGATAGAAAATATTTTAATGACATAGTTCCCCTTTAAATCAAACGATCTACCCAAACAGACACAGAATTAATCTAAATCAAAATATTAAAATTAAATTGTGTTATATTTTGTTTTAATTGCGCTTGTTATATCCTTTGTAAGGTGCCACAGAGCAGTCAATCTGACTGAATGTTCTAAAACAATCTGATTAAAACACAGATCTATATTTCGTTTCGATTTTTTTAATACTTTTTGACACTGTCGATGGCCTGCACTACATGAAAATCTGACCGGTTGTAGTGTGAGGTTGCGTCAGAGGTTATGCGTGCGGATTTTGACTCTGTGACATTGATTAATCAACAAGCCATAACAGACGTTTCATTGGCTAATCCCTCACATTAACCAGAACGCGGGTTGTATAACAACTCTTCCAGATCCTAGTGTTCTTGTCTACGATATCACCTTAGGTGGAAGTGGACGTAAAACACCAGAAACGAACGAACGATCCTAGTGTTGTGAAGACCAGTAAAATGAAATTTTGAACTATAAATAACGAAACCAAATAGAGAGAGAGAGAGAGAGAAATTGGGTTTAACGTCTACTCGACACAAATTAGGTCATTTTGGGACTAACATAGGGTTTAATTTTTTATTTCAATAATTCGCTTGCGCGAAGGGATCTTTAGCAGTGGAAGGAAACCAGAGGACCCGGAGAAAACCCACGAGGTTGGACAGGCGAGGAATGAAATAGGATCTGTGTTTTAATCAGATTGAAACAAATACAATAATAACCTACCTGATTACAACAGAATCTTTCTTATTTGTGACAATCTGTAACTTCTTGTTTATTTGTTTACCTGAAACACATCAACATAAATAATTTAAATAACAGGTGAAACAGGTGTAAAATAATATATCACAATATACAGACAAAAGATCCTGAGCAGTTTTTAAAATCTCTAGGTGTGAGAGAGAGAGAGAGACTATGTCAAACAGGTGTAAAATAATGCCACAATTTACAGACATAGATCCTGACATAGAGAGAGAGAGAGAGAGAGAGAGAGAGAGAGTAATTCCCTTGCCTGTAGGGATATTAGCAGTGAGGTCCCTGAGAAAATCACAATGCTAGACAGGTGACCCTACTCCTTGTCATGTACAAGCATGGAATTGAAACCACTTGCCTCAATGTCAGATCTTATGAGCTTGCCATGTGAATAAATGTCTAAATATTATATTTGAAGACAGACAACAGACCTGTGATAGGCCAATTCAACTCTTACATACATGTAATGTATGTTTAAAAGATGTACCGTTATTTCTAGAGTACATGGTCAATTCTTACCCCATACATTCATCCTAGGTTAGCATAATACAAAATATTTACATCCAATGATTGCTACATAAATAAGATCAGTTTTATTAGAAAATGTTTAGTGTAATTAAGTCAATAATTCAGTGTAAATAAGTCAATAATTCAGTGTAAATAAGTCAATAATTCAGTGTAATTAAGTCAATAATTCAGTGTAAATAAGTCAATAATTCAGTGTAATTAAGTCAATAATTCAGTGTAAATAAGTCATAAATTCAGTGTGAGAGAGAGAGAATGGGGTTTAACGTCCACTCGAGACAAAACTAAGTCATTTCGGGACTAACACATGGTTCATTTTATTTCAATAATTTGCTTGCGCGTAGGGGTCTTTAGCAGTGGGAGGAAACCACAGGACCCAGAGAAAACCCATGAGATTGGACAGGCGACCCTACTCCTTGTCACCTTTCGAAACCCTGCTAGTTGACTCAATGACAGACCGTATGATACAGCTTGCACACGTGCTAACCATTCGGCCATCCAACCCCCCTTAATTCAGTGTAACTAAGTCATTAATTAATGTGAAATTTATTAAATGTTATTTGTCTTTTTTTGTGACCAGTGACAGCAAATGGATGAATTATTATTTATTGTAAGACATTATTATTTGTCAATTTATGAATTGTTATTTGTCATTTTTTGTGACCGGTGACAGCAAAATGTATGAATTGATATTTATTGTAAGACATTATTATTTGTCAATTTATGAATTGTTATTTGTCATTTTTTGTGACCGGTGACAGCAAAATGTATGAATTGATATTTATTGTAAGACATATTATTATTTGCCTATTATAAGACATATCATTATTTGTGACCAGTGACAGTAAAATGGGAAGGAAGTTGTAATTAACATGAAGAAGAATGTCAAAACTGATTAAAATATTTTACATTAGTTTTTTAGCGCCCCTGGCAAATAAACTAGTTTTACTGACTGATACATGTAGGTAAATATTTTACAATAGTTTTATAGTTTTTTAGTGCCTGGGGCATATAAACTAGTTTTACTGACTATTTGGTAAATTGAGTTTAAATGTCAGGCATAGACTAAAGTTTATTTGTACCAAACATGAATAAAATGCAAAAAGGACTTTGCATGTAATTGACGTTTTCATGAGTGGCATTTTTTTGGGGTCACCCTGTATATAAACTAGTGTTTAATGACTGTGGTAAATAAGCTATTGTTTAATGATTGGTAAATAAGCTAGTGTTTAATGACTGTATTATATAGACTAGTGTTTAATGACTGTAGTATATAAACTAGTGTTTAATGACTGTAGTATACATGTATAAACTAGTGTTAATGACTGTAGTATATAAACTAGTGTTTAATGACTGTGGTATATAAACTAGTGTTTAATGACTGTGGGTTATAAACTAGTGTTTAATTCCTGTGGTATATAAACTAGTGTTTAATGACTGTGATTTATAAACTAGTTGTTAATGACTGTGTTATATAAACTTGTTTTTAATGACTGTGTTATAAAAACTAGTGTTTAATGACTGTGCTGTTTTATCATTAATCTGTGTGCTTTAATCTTCCACAATACAAAACATAACAATGTGACATTTAATTGTTTTATCGTAAAAAAAAAATTATGCAAGAAAAAAATATTTGTGCAGCATAGAAAATTCTAAACAGCATAATGTGAATGAATAGAATATAACTGAGTGACAACTCATTGTCTGTTTACTAGACTTACCATAGATGGAATATTACCTATATCAAAGATATACAAATCAAATAAAATGGGCTTTAATGTCCTACTGCCATGCAGTGTGGTATGAGGGAAATCTTGCCCTGACAACGGAACTATGGCTTACTCTTACATATCAAATTTCAAATATCAAGGGTTATTTTACGTGCACGCCAATTAGTACATGGCTCGGTTTTTGTCCCATTCAAACGACTATATGTTGTTCCTTGCCACTGACAAGGGGGAACCGCACCGGAAAATCTGGATGAATTTCTACACCAACAATGGGATCGAACACATAACCTCAAGGTCAGTGAGCCAATGTCTTACTCACTGAGCCAATGTGGCTCCCCTCAAATATACAGAGATGTAAGATTAGAATATATGATGACCACATTCAGTGGTGAATGCAGGCTATATAATTGACTGGGTGGGGCCTGGGGGGTACGGACCCCTGGGAAAATGTTGAAAAATCGGGGCCTCAATAGTGATGTGGGGCATATATATGGACCTCACTATAGTGAATGGAATTTAAAAGTAAGTGAATCTTTTTACTGTTATTTAGGGGGGAGGGGCAGGCCCCGCCAGGTTTCACCACATTTCAATGTAGGCATAAAAAAACCTTGATGCCTCAAGCTAAAGCAAAAATATCAGGGAGCTCACCTTTTTCTTGTTCCTTAGCAACAGCTCCACTTGAAACAGGTAAATTCTTAACATTACCGACAGGAGAAGCATCCTTTTTACGGGCAAGATTTAAATTAGGTTGGAATTTCTTTATTCGTCTCGGCACAGTTTTCGACGTCTGATTTTTACCTGTTGTAGTTGAGGAGGTCGTGGAGGTTGTATGTTCAACATTTGAAATTGTCGTTTTTGATTTATTTATCGGAGATTTCTTGAAGTCTGTGTTTGCTTGAATATTATCCGACGTTAATTTAGTTTTATTTTCCACTAGTTTCTCTGACTTTTGTTTGATCTTAGTCATTGGAACATCGTCTTCGGGTGTTGTTACGACGATGGGTGATGGTGTCTCGTTTTCTACGACCGGCACGTTTCCCTCCGGCTGATTTTCGACTGGCAAGATATCATCGGTCACATCAAAATTTGTTTCACCTTCCACGTTATTGAAAGTCATGTAACCAGAACTATTATTAATATCTTCGGTGATATTACATAAATTTTCTTCAATATTTTCTGAATTGAGGATTTCACTACTATCGTTTATAGGCGTATTTTCACCAGCACTCTCAAGCAAGTCATTATTAGCATTCGTTAAATCATTTTCTTGTGTATCATCAATTACGATGTTCGAATAAGGCGTTACATTTTCTTGTGTATGATCGATCACAATGTTCGAATTAGACATTACATTTTCTTGTGTATGATCGATCACGATGTTCAAATTAGATGTTACATTTTCTTGTGTATGATTGATCGCAATGTTCGAATTAGACGTTACATCTTCATCAATATCACTGTCACTAGCCAGGACATCGACATCATCATCTTCGTTATCATCATCATCCGAATCATCTGATACAGGCCGACTAGCACATATCACCTGTAATTTCTTAGAAGCTGTATTTTGAAATTCGGTGAATTTGGATGATTTTTGTAGTTTTGGAAGCCTGAAATAAGACAAAATCAATTACATGTTTCATGGAATGAGGCTTACTATCTTTATTTTTATGGTTACCAGTGTAATCCACGCCAGCAGAATTTGCCACTCGACACAAACTAGATCATTTCAGGACTAACATATGGTTCAATTTTATTTCTATAATTCGCTTGCCCTTAAGGGTCTTTAGCAGTGGAGAAAACCCACGAGGTTGGACAGGCGACCCTACTCCTTGTCACGTACAACCAGGGAATCGAAATCACACCAGTTGACTCAATGACAGACCTTATTATACAACATGCACATGCTAACCATTCGGCCATGCACAAACAGGATTCTTAAGAAGTGGGAGGAAACCCGAGTACCTGGAGGAATGGAAAAAACAAACCTTGCTGGTAATTTGTCCTCTTCATCACTTGATTCAAATTCAAACTCTTCATATTCTAATGGTTTACCTAAAAACAAGAATGGTTGGTTTACATATAAACAACAACAGTTTATCTATAAACAGCAATGATTTACTTATAATAAACAACAATGGTTTACCTAAAACATCAGCAGTTTACATATAAACAACATCGGTTTATCTATAAACAACAGTTTACCTATAAACAATGGTTTACCTGTAAACAATGGTTTACCTGTAAACAATGGTTTACCTGTAAACAACGGTTTACCTATAAACAACAACAGTTTACGTATAAACAGCAATGGTTTACCTATAAACAACAACGGTTACCTATAAACAGCAATGGTTTACCTATAAACAGCAATGGTTTACTTATAAACAACAACGGTTACCTATAAACAACAACGGTTACCTATAAACAGCAATGGTTTACCTTAAACAGCAATGCTTTACATATAAACAGCAATGGTTTACATCCAAACAACAAAGGTTTACATATAAACAACAAAAGGTTACATATAAACAACAACAGTTTAGATATAAACAACAATGGTTTACATGTAAACAACAGTTTACATGTATATATAAACAACAACGGTTTACCTAAAAACAACCAAGATTTACCTAAAAAAACATCGGTTTATATATTGACAACAACAGTTAAACAACCAGAACAATATTATCATATTCTAATGGTTTACTTATAAACAACAAAAAACAATATTATCAGGGTATGGAAAATATCAAAATAATATGAAAATTGTGAAAGAGCAGCCTCATTCAAAGACTTAAAGGACAATATTGGTGCCAGTCATTATCACGATAGCTGAATAATACAGGTTTCCCGTATCGGAAGTGACGAACGCCAAAGGAAAACATGAGTAGTAGTATATCCGTTATCACTCGTCACATCAGTCAGTTATATAGAGCGGGGATTCATGTTTTCCTTTGGCGTTCGTCACTTCCGATATGGGAAACCTGTATTATTCAGCTATCGTAGTAATGATCTCTGTGTTAAAAATATATTTGGAATGTGTTTAACCAGCTCTAACACATATGTGATAATGACCGGCACCAATATTGTCCTTTAATTTTGAAAATTTTGCAAAATCTGTAAAAAAGAAACAAAAGTTTGGAAAAAAAATATTATTTCTTGTTTTTGTCAACAAAAATGCGAACTTGTGTTGAATAAGTGCGTACATTGTAGGCCTGAAGATGACCTCTCATTGTAATAACCAATCAATGGAAGTCAAAGTATCAAGGTCGTTATTTGATTATGGTGATGCTGGGCTGCAAGTGGAGAGGAATAGTTGAAAAACAAGACTGAAAAGAGAGAGACAGAGAAATGGGGTTTAACGTCCACTTGACATAAACTAGGTCATTTTGGGACTAACATGTGGATCAATTTTATTTCAATATTTCGCTTGTGCGTAGGGGTCTTTAGCAGTGGGAGGATACCAGAGGACCCTGAGAAAACCCACACGGTTGAACAGACGACCCTACTCCTTGTCACGTACAATAGGGGAATCTAAACAACGCCAATTGACTCAATGACAGACGTTATGATACAACGCGCGCGCACTAACCATTCATCCATCCAATCCCCCAAGACTGAAAGGGATGAACGGTTTAAGAAAAAAGGTCTGGAATTTTAACACAAGATTTACTTACTTTTTCTGATTATCTCTGGTTGAACCTGATCTCCATCTTGTCTTTTTATACTGAGTTTATCCGGAGTTGTCTTCTCCTTGGTTATTTTAGGTTTTTTAGGTCTTGACGGTCTGCTCGTTTTATTATTATTAGCCTCGGGCGACGACGCGACAGCTTCTTCCTCTTCCACGGATTTCTTGGTATTTTTAATTTCCTTGGTAGGTCTGGACTTTTTTGGTTTATATTCAGGATTACTCGCCTGTTTCTCTTCTTTCTTTCTTTTAATGGATGCCTTACGTTTATTTTCTCTCTCATGTTTATCTTTCTCTAGAACGGATTCGATGCTTTCAAAACTTTCTAGACTTAATGGTGTCCTCATTTCTATAAATTAAATAGGAAATGAAATGAAATGAACTGGGGTTTAACGTCCTACTGTTCTGCTTCTATACTGGGTTAATGGAGACGGGCATACGCCATACAGTGTGCTATGAGGGAAATTTTGCCCGGGCAGCGGCACCATCGCCTACTCTTATATCGAATTCCAACTGCCAAGGGATCTTTTACGTGCATTCCAATGTATACACAGGACCTCGGTTTTTCGTCTCATCCGAAGGACTAGACAGCTGTCCTTGTCAGGCCCTCTGTCCTGCATCACTGACAAGGGGGAACCACGCCGGAAAATCTGGATAACTTTCTCGGCCAATGCAGGGATCGAACACCCGACCTCCAGGCTAGCGAGCAATTAAATAGGAGAAAGAGAGAGAAATGGGGTTTAACGTCCACTCAAACAAACTAGGTCATTTCGGGACTAACATATGGTTTAATTTTATTTACATAATTCGCTTGCGCGTAGGGGTCTTTAGCAGTGGGAGGAAACCGGAGGACCCGTAGAAAACCCACGAGGTTGGACAGGCGACCCTACTCTTTGCCACGTACAACCGGGGATTCGAAACCACGCCAGTCGACTCAATGACAGACTGTATGATACAGCGCGCGCACGCTAACCATTCAGCCATCCAACCCCCCTCAATTAAATAGGAATGGAAAAATGATTCACAATAGTTATAAACACATCAAGAGCTTAAAGGAGATAAATCGCTAATATTTGGGACCTAGAAATTGATACAAATGGGTCGCAACGCATATAATAATGTTATATGAATGTACATAAACTGATTTACATTCAATCATTTCTGTTTTTACTGTAATTTTTAATCAGTTATGTTCAGCGAAATACGCCAAAAGTCTCAATCGAATGGCAATCTCTAGCGTCTGGTTATTCCAGTCTACACTGATAGTATTTATTGTGCATGCTCTCCAGACAAGAATATGCCGTCACTGTTTGACATGACTTGTGGAATATGTCCAGCCTCCTCCTTCGAGTCCCTTATTACAAATGGCACTGAAAAGCATTATGGTGCACGATCTGTGTACCAATGGTAAAATGTTTATTTTGTCTTAAATATTGGATATCAGAAGCCCATCTTCTCACGATACGATAACAACACCAATGTTGATTTAAATTGACAAATAATTCGTGTTTTCAATGTCAAAGACTTTGGATGATACTGAGTTAGAGACTTAGTTACTTTAATTATGACCTTGTCGTCATAATAACGATATCATTTATACTTGACAAAATGACAGACACTAGTGAACTAGTATGTGAAACCCCACGAGTTTGAGTTTATGACAGACCTTATGATCCATTTTGAACGCGTTAGACACCCATCTTTTTGATCTGAAGATGAAACGGGCTTTAACATCCTACTTCCCTGCACCGACTGGGCTAATGAAGACAGACACACATCATTCGGTATGCTATGAAGGAGGTTTTACCCACACAGCAGCACTACAGCTTACTTTCTTATCGAATTCCAACTCTTTTTCGGTGCATCCAAACAACTAGACAGCTGTCCTGCACCACTGACAAGGGGAAACCGTGTGGAGAGTTTTATATGATTACTTACTGATTGCCATATCAACTAGATTAACAATGTCAGTGTCACAATGTAGAGTGTTTTATGTCATTACTTACTGATTGCCATGTCAACCATCTGACGATTATATCTCTCTTCTCTCTTAAATTTATTCTGAAATAAAATTATCACAGACATTACTATCACAAATATCTTTATATGATATCAAAAACTTAATTTTTACACGTGTATATCAACAAAAATTCTATCACTATCATACAAAATTTCTATCCTGCAAAATTTCTATCGTACAATAATTCTATCCTACTATTGAATTTTAAGAATGTGTGTTTGCAACATTTAAACAGACATTATGCAAGAGGTAAATCTGCCTATTGCAGGTCTTGCTTTAGGCCTGAAATATTATCTAAATTGTTAAAGATATATTATGGGAGATACGAAAATGAGTTGGCAGTTCTCACTATAATAATTAAAAACTAGATAACGTAAAGGCAATTTGCTGAAAATTTCATTCAAATTGATCCACTATGAACCGAGAACTAAGCGAATGAAATTTCTGCCTAGCCTCGGTCATCATTACTAAAGTCAGTACGATAAACAGCATAGTCTCGATTATCCATTTAATCGTTTAATCAAGATCCAAGGGTAGTAAAGACAAGTAAAAACGAAATTTTGAACTATAAAAACGAAACGAAATAGGATCTGTGGTTTAATCCGATTGCTCTTTATCTAATATCCCTGCCCCTTTAACAAAGAATACCACCATTTTGTATGCAGGACATTTCAAATCATGAACACTGTTTGAATTCAAATGGAGTTGTTTAACATACTATTTTACTGAACCAACTAGGCTAGTTTTGACAGGCATACATAAAGTGAGCGATGAGGGACATTTTGCCATGGCAATGGAAATGAAATAGGGTTTAACGTCCTACTGTTCTGCTCCAACTGGGCTAATGAAAGAGAGAGAAAAATGGGGGTTTAATGTTCACGACACAAACTAGGTCATATCGGGACTAAAATATGGTTCAATTTTATTGCGCATAAGGGTCTTTAGCAGTGGGGGGAAACTGGAGGACCCAGAGAAAACCCAGGAGGTTAGACAGGCAGCTTTGGTAAAGGATGATTGGAATTCATTAGCCCAGTCGGAGTAGAACAGTGGAAGGTTAAACCCCATTTCATTTCATTTCCATTGGCATGGCAAAATTCCCATGGCAAAGGCACCTACAGTCAACCCTTAATTCGATTTCAAGACGATCATTATCATAGAGAGAGAGAGAAATGGGGTTTAACGTCATCTCGACACAAACTAGGTCATTTCGGGACTAACATATCGTTTAATTTTATTTACATAATTTGCTTGCGCGTAGGGGTCTTTAGCAGTGGGAGGAAACCGGACGACCCGGAGAAAACCCACGAGGTTGGACAGAGGTGACTCTACTCCTTGTCACGTGCAACCGGGGAATCGAAACCACGCCAGTCGACTCAATGAGACTTTATGATACAGCACGCGCATGCTAACCATTCAGCCATCCAACCCCCCATCATTATCATGCTCCTAATGGAATACATGGGATGTTAGTTTTGAATTCCATCGCAATGCTAGGTCCTATCTTCTGCACCTCTGACAAGGGAAATCATGGTGGAAAATCCTGAGTACCATCAAGCCAACACCACACTATACTGAGTCAGCATGGCTCACAAAACTTTATTTATGAGATGTAACAATTACAGCACGAATCAAAGCAAAACATGTCATGCTGTTGATCCCGATAAGAAAAACAGGTTATGATGTTGGTCCTGATAGGCAAAATAGGTCATGCTGTTGTCCTGATAAGAAAAACAGGTCATGCTGTTGGTCCTGATAGGCAAAACATGTCATGCTGCTGGTCCTGATAAGAAAAACAGGTTATGCTGTTGGTCCTGATAAGAAAAACGGGTCACGCTGTTGGTCCTGATAAGAAAAACAGGTCATGCTGTTGGTCCTGATAAGAAAAACAGGTCATGCTGCTGGTCCTGATAAGAAAAACAGGTCATGCTGTTGGTCCTGATAGGCAAAACATGCCATGCTGTTGTCCTGATAAGAAAAACAGGTCATGCTGTTGGTCCTGATAGGCAAAACATGCCATGCTGTTGTCCTGATAAGAAAAAGAGGTCCTGCTGTTGTCCTGATAAGAAAAAGAGGTCATGCTGTTGGTCCTGATAAGCAAAACATGTCATGCTGTTGGTCCTGATAAGCAAAACAGGTCATGCTGTTGTCCTGATAAGCAAAGATATTGATTTGAAATCTGAATGTACCAACCTTAAGTTCTCTCCTGGTTCTGTGAGGGAAAAGGCTGCTCATCAGTGAAAAATCTGTTCCTAGTGCACTTAGAGCTCTGTAGAATCTGGCTGTTTCTATAATAAAAATGTTTTAAAAATCAAAATCAAGTTCTTTAATCCTAAAATGTAGTCAAAAGTCCAACTGACATATACTATTCAAAAAAAGTAGGGGATATTTGATTTTTAATTGTTATTAAAGTCACCTAATGAAACTGACGAAGAAACAAATGACAAAATGAAGTGAAGTTCACATTCATCGATTTATTCCAAATGATCGTTAGACTAAGTAAGGCACAGACTGACCATTATAAGGGTAAAATGATACCCGGGGTCAAACAGCAAAGTTACCACAGCATCACAACCAAGTCAGTAACGGGTAAATCCTCCTCTGTTTGCCAAACAAGCATTGATCCGACGTGGCATACTCCTAATGAGACGTCTAAGGTCATTTTGGTCCAGATTGTCCCATTCCTGTTGCAACGCAGCAGCAAGTTCTTGGACATTGGCAGGACGTTGTTGACGTTGACGTAACCTCTGTCCAAGCATGTCCCAGACATGCTCGATGGGGGAGAGGTCGGGACTCAGTGCTGGCCAAGGTAATGTGGTGATGTTCTGTTGTTGGAGGTAACCTGTAACGATCCTGGCCCTGTGACATCTTGCGTTGTCATCCTGGAAGATGAAACGGCGGCCATGACGTCGTGCGAACGGCACAACATGGACTGCCAAGACGCATATCAAAATTTGTTTTCTGGTCACTAAAACAATTAAACTGATGTTTCCACCCTGGAATTCAATGCCACAATGACTGTAACATTCAAAGTCAGAGTCGTGCAAATCTTGGGTTGGACCCCCATGATGATCCCAAGCATCACCTGCATTCCATGCGGTAGCTATTGGTGCGTTTGGGCGTCACGTGTAACTGGAAATGTTTCTTCTGTTAGGTTCTATAGTGAATTTTTTCGTGGTCATTTGCATATTTTAGTATTATGCCCCCAAAATCAAATATCCCCTACTTTTTTTGAATAGTATATTTAACGAAACCAAACAACAGTAAGTGAGCTAATTGTTATTCACTATAATATGAGTCTGCGGAGGTCAATATGGCACCCAACATATCTTCGGTATGGAAGGGAGAAAGAGAAATGGAGTTTAACATCCACTCGGCACAAACTAGGTCATTTCTGGACTAACATATGGTTCAATTTTTATTTCAATAATTCACTTGTGGGTAGGGGTCTTTAGCAGTGGGAGTAAACCGGAGAAACCCACAAGGTTGGACAGGCGACCCTACACCTTGTCACGCGTTAACCATTCGGCCACCCAACTCCCACTTATTGTCCTGTGTGGTTTCAGGAATTGTTGTTATAATTTTCTGGATAAATTAGCCTCATAATTTTTGTATTACTGTATTAGCTTGTTAACGTTGAGAGAATACTCTTAGAAACATCGCTCAAATAATAAGTAGCTGTTTTTCCATAAGTATGTGTTATAGTTTATTGCTCTATCCAGTTACTAAATGCATCTTAAAGATTATAATTATAACACAGGTTAAATCAGTGGACTCCAACAACAGCTTTTTCATTCTTAATTGCAATTGACTCTATTCAGTGAAAGTAAATAGTATTCTGCTAAACTAACTAAGCTATTGTTGGCTAAATCTCCAAAAGGATTGGAACTTAGCCAAATTATTAAGAAGACAACTTGAATTAAACGTACCATTATCTAGCCAACATTTAGTTGTTCCTTTATTTCTGAAACTATTATAATTAACGTATACATCATCCTCCTCAACAATCTCAGTTGGTGATAAAACTTCCTTCTCATGTTCAGCTTCAACTACCAAACTAGACAATACAAATAATATATGGTTACAGAGCAGGATAAATAGAACTGATGCTTGGTTCAGAGCAGGATAAATAGAACTGGTACATGGTTACAGAGCATGTTAAATAGAAATGATACATGGTTACAGAGCAGGATAAATAGAACTGGTACATGGTTACAGAGCATGTTAAATAGAAATGATACATGGTTACAGAGCAGGATAAATAGAACTGATGCATGGTTACAGAGCAGGATAAATAGAACTGATACATGGTTACAGAGCAGGATAAATAGAACTATGTAATGCTTGCTTACAGAGCAGGATAAAAAATAACTAATGCTTGGTTACAGGATAAATAGAAACATTTGACTACATGTACATCCCAATTCTGTTCACACCACATAGAGATCGGTAGATTTGGAAGGTTATGGACTGATAATCAAAATCCCCATAAACTCCATTCTGCTGACAGTTGATCTGCTGATGATGATACATCAAACTGTGAGCATGTAGACCTACTGCCATATTATACCCTTTCTAACACTGTAATCTGGATATCATTTAATCTTGTGTATTTAGCATTAATTTATTTAACATTCATTCAGTATCAAATCTTTGTTTAAAAATTGGTAAAAAAAATCATCTAAAATCACCAAAAATCATCCAATTTGTCCAGTTTAAAGCTTACTGATTGATTTTGATAATGAGTGTCCAATTTACAAGTATTTAATTTCCTGACCACTGTTCAAAAATTAATCATTATACATCAATAATCAATTGGTTTGTTTATTTTTTCACAGTAATCGAGAAATTAAATGCTTGTAAATTGGACACTCATTATCAAAACTGAATGGTCAGCTTTTAACTTGACACAAGTAAAAACTGAATGATTTTTAGTGATTTTAAACGATTTTTACGAATTTTTAAACAAAGATTTGATATTGAATGAATGTGAAAGAAATTAATGCTAGATACACAAGATTAAATAATACCCGGGTTACAGTGTAAGCATACTGCCATGTTATACCCTTTCTAATCAGTTCAAAATATACACAAATTAGCAGTTCATTTGTACATTTTTCTAGTAAACTAAAGGGAAGAACACCTCATACTATTTTCTATTAAGGAAGGTCACATAACTAAGAATTAGTTGCATTGCTGTATTTAAAACACTATCATTTATAAAATTATTTTTGACAACAATTCCTTATAACAAAAGGGCAATAACTCTGAATAAGTGTAAATTAGCAGGAAGTTTATTACCTCTGTTCGTTTATAATCATGCTGCCGTCTGGACCGATGGTGACTTGTGGGACTAACATGGCATCACTACTCATGGATGAATCGTCTTGTTTATCAGGTTCAGTAGTAAAACTATTGTCGACATTATCTGATGTAGAACTACTTTCTACTGTTATACTATTACTACGCTTTCTTATCTTCTCACTCGATTGTCTGAAAATAAATTTATAATTGTATATAATTCTTGTATCTCTACAGTTTATTAACTCATCATTTATAGATATATAAACCTTTTACCTCCTTGGGGGGAGGGGGGGAGAGATAAAAGAGAGAAAGAAATAGGGTTTAACGTCCACTCGACACAAACTAGGTCATTTTGGAACAAACATATGGTTTAATTTTATTTTACAATAATTCACTTGCGCGTAGGGGTCTTTAGCAGTGGGAGGTAACCGGAGGACCTGGAGAAAACCCATAAGGTTGGACAGGCGACCCTACTACTTGTCACGTACAACCGGGCAATCAAAACCATGCCAATTGACTCAATGACAGACCTTATGATACAGCGTGCATGTGCTAGCCATTCGGCCATCCAACCCCCCAAGTTTTTTAAGGGTGGATAATTAAATGTTTAAGGTTAATGGGTGGATAAACTTCACAATAGTGAAACCTCCAAAATTCAATCCTTATCAATAGTCACAATTCTATGGAATACAATTACTGCTTGTTACTGAGCGACATTTCGACTAGGCTTCTCTAGTCATTATCAAGCTATGATAATGATTAGAGAAGCCTAGTCGAAACGTCGCTCAGTAATAAGCAGTAATTGTATTCCATAGAATTGTGGCCTGTATACTCTAGTTCAATTACTAAATGCCATTGAAACAGCTTATCTATAGTCACTTGAACAAGAGACCCTTTATTTGCTTGTAAAATTTAAACAAAGAAAATGTTTTATCAGCCCTCTTTAGGCATTGAACTTACTTCATTGGATTTTTAGAAGGATTCCAGTAAATTAGATCACTCATTTTCATCTTCTGTCGATCTGGTGGTTCATCTTCAGGAAACTGACGAATATTAATAGCTCTCTGTCTCTGTAATATTTACAAATAAAATATAATTCATTATGTCTGACATCCACAATATTTCATCTGGAAGTAAAACGTATTTGTTTTATTATTACAGGAGGTAGCCACAGTGAGAGAGAGAAATGGAGTTTCTGGGACTAACACATGGTTCAATTTTATTTCAATAATTTGCTTTCGCCTTAGGCTCTTTAGCAGTGGGAGGAGACCGAGCCGGTGAATCAAAACCATGCCAGTTAACTCAATGACAGACCTTATGATACAGCGCTAACCGTTCGTCCATCCAACACCTGATATATACAGGAGGTAGCCACAGTAAGCAAGGTGCTGGATCACTAAACAGGAGAGGGGAGCCACAGTGGCTAAGGGAGTAGGGTGTTGGCTCGCTAGCCTGGAGGTCGCTGGTTCACTCCCGGTGTTGACCGAGAAAGTTTATCAGGATTTTCCGGCATAGTTTCTCCTTGTCAGTGGTGCAGGATGGAAGGCCTGATAAGGAGAGAGAGAGAAATGGGGTTTAACGTCCACTCAACACAAACTAGGTCATTTCGGGACTAACATATATTTCAATTATATTTCCACAATTCACTTGCACGTAGGGGTCTTTAGCAGTGGGAGGAAACCGGAGGACCCAGAGAAAACCAACAAGGTTGGACAGGCAACCCTACTCCTGGTCACGTACAACCGGGGAATCGAAACTACGCCAGTTGTCTAGTCAGTCGGATTTTACGGAAAACAAGTTCCCGTAAAAGATAACTTGGCACTTGGAATTTGATATAAGAGTAGACCGTAGCGCTGCTTTCCGGGCTGTATGCCCATCTTCAATAGCCCAGTTGAAGCAGAACAGTAGGATACTCCCATTTCATTTCATTACACTGAACAGAAGGTTCAGGATATGATCCCGGTATTGGTGATCCGTGTTCCAATTTTAAAATTTTCAGTTGGATATTAGAAACCTATCTTTTTACGGTAAGATAACAACATCAATGTCAATTTAAATTGACCAACAAGTCGTGTTTGCAATGCTGAAGACTGTGAATGATATTAAGTTAAAGACTTGATTCCTTTAAAGTAGCTTAGTCTCTTAACTCATTATCATCCAAAGTCTTACACATTGAAAACACGAATTATTTGTCCATTTATATCAACATTAATTTGATGTTGTGGTCTTACCGGGAAAAGATGGGCTTCTGATATCCAATATTTAAGACAAAATAAACATTTTACCTTTGGTACACGAATCTCGTACCATAATGCGTTTTAGCGCCATTTGTAACAAGGGACGCGAAGAGCGAGGCTAGACATTATTCAACATGTCAAGTCAAACGGTGACACCATATTCTTATCTGGAGAGCATGTGCAATAAATACTATCGGTGTAGACTGGAATAACCAAACGCTAGAGATGGCCATTCGATTGAGACTGCTGACGTATTTCTCTGAACATAATTGATTTGAAATCAAGAGTAAAAACAGAAACGATTGAATGTAAATCAGTTTATATACATTCATATTACATTATTATATGCATTGCAACTCATTTGTGTCCATTTCTAGGTCCCGAATATTAGCGATTTAGCTCCTTTAAATATAAATGCCTGACATAATGTTGAAACATCATTCGATAATATATGATGTTATCAGTGCATTTCTAAACTATCATCAATCTGACATAGAAATAATAAGCTATCTGATTAAAAGTACAGATCCTATTTCGTTTCGTTTTTTATAGTTCCAAATTTCGTTTTACTTGTCTTTACTACACTAGGATCTGGAAGAGTTGTTATATTACCGGTGTTTTGGTTGATGTGAGGGATAAGCCAAAGAAACAGTCTGTTCCGCCTGCGACTTCTTGACGTGCCATGCACGGAACTGTGGGTAAACCACTAGAAACACCAACACTGGCTGATTAATCAATGTCTGACGTCATATGGTCAAAAGCTGCGCGTACATGTATGACCCCTGGCATGACCTTATAGTACAACTTATCTGATCTTGATGTAGTCTACGCTATCGAAAGTATAGATCTGTATTTCAATCAGACTGTATAATAATCTATATAATTTACCCGTGAAGTTTTGATTTTTTCTGTTTTTTGTTGAGTGGATCTTTTGTCTATAGTTGATGTTGATATTGTTTGATCTACATTAACAACAGGACTATTCTCATCTTGTTCACATGTATCTACACACGATATACTAGATTGCTGGGTACTGAAATATTTCATCAAAATATAAAATATAATTCTACACAGAGAGAGATGGGGTTCACTGCTGAGTACTGAATTATTTCATCAAAATATAAAATATAATTTTACACAGAGAGAAATGGGGTTCACTGTTCACTCAGTCGTTGCTTCAGGAATATGGACTAACATATGATACAACTTGACGTCAAGATTTCACACGCATGTACAGGTCTATAGAAATGGGAGAGAGAAATGGGGTTTAAAATCCACTCGACACAAACCAGGTCATTTCGGGACTAACATATGGTTTTAATTTTATTTCAATAATTCGCTTGCGCGTAGGGGTCTTTAGCAGTGGGAGGAAACCGGAGGACCCGGAGAAAACCCACGAGATTGGACAGGCAACCCTACTCCTCGTCACGTACAACCGGGGATTCGAAACCACGCCAGTTGACTCAATGACAGGCCGTATGATACATTTGGCCATACCCCCCCCCCCCCTATAAAAATGAAATTTAACGTCCTTTTGTTCTGCTCACAAGTCAAGAGCAATAATTCCGGGCCATATTTATCCCGATTCTAAATGATGTAAATTTGGCAAGAAATGAACCCTGCAGAATGATTACAAGTATGGTAATGATAAACTGTATCCGTCAGGGACAATAACCATTTTTTGGGAAATGTTCTAAATCAATGGGGACCATCTTTACTCTGATTGTAACTATTGCTTACATTTGATCACAATTGGTTAGAGGACAATATTGGTGTCAAGTCATTATCACATATGTGATACAGTGTCATGTAACAACTTTTGGTCTTGGAAGGAATTATTAGTGAGAAGAAATTCGCCCGTGTATCTGTTATCACTCATCACTTCAGTCAGTCATATAGAAGGATAACTTGGGTTTTCCTTTTGCATTCGCCATTTCCCTTTCTTGAAATCTTAATAACGCAGCTATCATAGCAATGATCTCTGTGTTAAAAGTATATTTGGAACGTGTTTAACAAGTTCTATGAGTTATGACATATGTGATAATGACTGACACCAATATTGTCCTTTAAGAAGTTAACTCTCTAGATCTAGAGTGGACAGATGGGCTAACAGACTAGGGTGATAACAATATACGAGCACAGGGCTTTAGATTTGTCAACACAAAAATTAAACTCTGTCCAATCAGTATAAAATATATATTACCTGGAATCTTCATTAGAAAGGGAAAGTCTAACAGGTGATTTAATCGGCGATTTGATAGGTGATCGTTCAGGTGAGAAAACTTTAACAGGACTAGTTGGTTTAGCAGAATTCGGCCTGGAATACATAATTTGGCATTTAAACATACATTATGCAAGAGCTAAATCTGCCTATTGCAGGTCTTTCTTTAGGCCTGAAATATTATATAAACTATTAATTAGACATTAATTAACTTATCCAAACCATAATCAATTCTTGATGTCATCTTATGTATCATATGTTTACTGGATTTGAATCCGATCTGCTGCTCAACGCTCATTGATGATTAAATTCAAAAATGGATAATCAAGACTATGTTTTTTATCGTACCGACTTTAGTAATGATGATCAAGGCTAGCATAAAATTCAAAAGCTAATATCTTGGTTCAGAGAAGAGCAGTTTGACTTAAGTTTTAACATATTCTATTTGGATCTAGTTTTTAACAATTATAGTGAGAACAGCAAACTCTTTATCTAATCTCCCATAATGTATCTTTAATAAATAATATTCATATTACACCGCTAAAGGTCATCTCTTGTGATTTTAATATATTTGCTTGAATAATCAGCTTATTGTCCAAGAGGCAATTTTGAACCTTAGAATTCTTAATAAAAATTTTTTTTAAAAATCATCTGACCGGGAATTAATTTTTGAGACACCAACCACTTCAAATTGAAATGGAATTATTCTTAGTCTTGTAATAAATGTAGGCTACAACATCAATCAATCAATATACAGTGGACTCTGTCACATCCGATCTCTGATCACTCCGGATTGCTGTGACATCCGACATGATTTTCATGTCCTGATTTATTTCCTTATTACTTCAGCCAAAAAATCGCTGGTAAATCCGAATTCTGTATGTTCCGGATTCCGACATCAATCAGCCGTCCTGTCACATAATTTCCATTGAATCGACACCGCATAATCCGTACTTCAAACGGTGGGTATGAAGCATCCAATTATCGGTGAAATTAAAACTCAATGGGTGTGAAGCCAGAAAAGATTAACAAGTAATCACCAATCAATTATCGGTGAGATTAAAACTCGCAAGCGCCGGTCTGTGTTGATTACTTTGAATGGTAAAGCAGTGAACACAAGATGTTTTAAGGCAGTGGACAAGATCAACCTGCCAGTCAATTGGTCGGCCAATCGCAAAGGTTGGATGACAGGTGCCATTGATATTACATGTAAATGACTTTATGAATATATTGTACGCATGCATTGTTATTGTTAATTATATAATGTACTAAAATTTTGAAAATACAGAAAAGTTTATCATTTATAAAGGGAATAGCATTCTGGTGATTCGAAGCTACAATATAAAAATACTTCCGGTTTTAGAAGTTACAGTATTTCCGGTTTTGGAGAAAACTCGGTATTCCGAAATGCTTTGTCGTCCGAATTATTGTAACGATCCCGTACGATGTTGGATGTGACAGAGTCCACTGTATTTCAAACTTGAACCACTACTACATGTACTGTACTAGTATTGGTGGGAGAGACAGAGAGAGATGGGAGGAAACCGGAGGACCTACTGAAAACCCACGAGGTTGGACAAGCGACCCTACTCCGTGGCATGTACAACTCAATGACAGACCTTATGATACAACGCGCGCACGTGCTAAGCATTCAGCCATCCAAACCCATTACCAGTATTGGATGTCACATATATCAGCTTAAAATTAAACTAAATAGAACTTACCTTGCAACACCTCTTAATCCAATATTTGGTTTAGGTTTTGCAAAACGGTTTCTTATTCCCCGAGCGAGAGGCCCAGGGTCAGGTTTGAATAACGGCTTGACAGCATTCTCAGCAGGAGTCGGACTTTTATTGACAGAGTTTTTAACTGGTTCAGTTTCTGATACATCTCTTGAGGGTGAATTTATGGCTATCTTTTCTTGTAGTTCCTCTGTGCTTTTTATTTCACTATTATTAGAATTCTGAAGAAGTGGAACCGTTTTATCTTTTAATACAGTAACAAGTTTGTCAGTTTCGGATTTTTCGGTTTCTGAGGCCTTTGGAACATTTACTGGTGTTTTGGCTGGAGTTTTGGTTATCTTTGGACCAATATTTGGCTTTATCTGAAGTCTAGAACGTCTGGTCGCCATTATTATGTATAAATGTGATAAAACACTGGATAAAACTTTATCAATTAACTATACCATTGGAGTAATGCTGTGTCTGAAATAAAAATATATAGTATGAAGGTATATATACCGGTATATATGTAAACAGTGATGTCAGTACATTTCATCATCACTCTGACTGACAGAATGGGAAATTATCCAAATCATGAATCGAATGAAAATGAAATACACATTTGTTGTGTGTAAAGGATCTGAAGAGATTGACTCAAAGTAGGCACATTCCAACAACAAATCAAAAAAAAAATTGAAATGATAATAGTCCTATTTCATCAAATCAAATAAAATTGAAGGGTGATTTTATCGAAATGTGGCCCAAATCTCAGTCATAACAAAATGAAAATGTCAAACATTGACACACACCCGTTATTTTGGCGGCCATGTCTGTAAAGTCCAACCCCAACAAAAATCGAGTTAGCCAGACATTCTTTGAAATTAACGAAATGCCATCTTACATTTACAGGGAATCATTTTTTTATCTGAAATATGAAAATAAATCTGTCAAACATCACGTTTTTCTACCATTATACTTGACTTCCGGTCAAGAGACAGAGTAAGCGGTGATCTATTTTCCGACCTATTTGTAAAATTTAGCGTACTTTGGTTAAGAGTTGCTTCCCTTATATAACATTTATTCCAAAGAAATCCCATCGGCCCAATGCGAAAGGGCGTTTTTTTTTCGATGACCACTGAGTAGTAACACTTTGAAGAAAAATTGATTACTTTGTTTTTTTATTAATCAAATATTTCCTAGCCATTTTCCCATAGCGAGATATGGAATTCCAGAAAAAAAATGATGGTTAGGACTGCGACGAATGAGATCCATCTAATTAAATTTTCTAAACAAACCAAATTTAAAAAAATAAAAAAATTAAATAAATAGGCCTAGATCTACTCATATTGTAGTTGCACTTTTCCTTATAATGGTAATGGAAGTCCGTTCAGAAGAACTATGGGAGCAATATGCGCGCGGGCAATACGAAATGAAATGAAATGGAGTTTAACGTCCTACTGTTCTGCTCATAGCCTACTGGGCCAATGGTCATTGAGTCAACTGGCGTGGTTTCGAATCCCCTGTTGTACGTGACAAGGAGTAGGGTCGCCTGTTCAACCTCGTGGGTTTTCTCCGGGTTCTCCGATTTCCTCCCACTGCTAAAGATCCCCACGCGCAAGCGAATTATTGAAATAAAATTAAACCATATGTTAGTCTCTCTCTCTCTCTCTCTCTCTCTCTACTGGGCTCTATACAACGTAATTTCGACTACTGGACTACTTTTTTAATAGACGGAGTGGTCGAGATGAGCTTTAGACAAGAAGTAAGATCACCTGTCAAATCTGATTAAAACACAGATCCTATTTCGTTTCGTTTCTTATGGTTTTTTTTACTTGTCTTCACCCGACAGTATAAAAAACGAAACGAAATATAGATCTGTATTTTAATCAGATTGGTCCAATCTCGTTGAATTCCTCTGGGTCTTCCGGATTCCTCCCAATGCTAAAGAGCCCAAACCACAAGCGAATCATTGAAATAAAATTATACCAATGGCCGCTCACCATACGTTCGGATGCACGTAACAGAGCCTCCTTGGCAGTTGGAATTCGAATGAAGAGTAGGCCGTAGCGCCATCATCCGGACAAAATTCCCCCCATAGTACACTGCATGGCATCTGCTCGTCTTTATTAGTCCAGTCGGAGCAGAACAGTAGGACTTTTTACCCCATTTCATTTCATTTCAATTATTAAATAGATATAATGGTGGGGGGGGGGGAAGCTCTGTCATTTTGTCAAGTGGAGTTGATGCAAGGTATGTACATGACAAGGAGTGAGGTCACCTGCCTAACCTCGTTGGTTATCTGTGGGTCTCCCTCCCCCACTGCCAAAGACCCCCTTGAAAAAATACGGTACTATATTAATGGGTTTTTTTCCCTCTATCTCCCTCCCTTTCAGCTGATATAAATAATTACACTTGGTTACAGAAGCTAATGAAATAAACTTTGACTTTTCGCATTTCCTCAAACTTATTGCGTGGGAAATACTCACACATTGCAGTTTAAATACCGGATAATCATGTGAAACGACCTGGTGAGTTGAATAACTTTCTCAACTAATCTGTACATATCTAGTATATTTATATGGACGATGGGAGCACGTATAGGTCACGCTACATCCAGCGCAATTCGATACAATATCGTGCATGTGTTTATGGATAGGAAATGAGAATTTAACGTCCACGCGATACAAACTAGGTCATTTTGGGACTAACATATGGTACAATTTTATTGCAATAATTCGCTTCTGCGTAGGGGTCTTTAGCAACGGGGGAAAACCAGAGGCCCCCACTCCCTTGTTACGTATAGACTGGGATTTGAATTAAAACAACGCCATTTGTCCTAATGGCATATCTTATGGGTAAGATCACTCGACCATCCAATTCCGGTATGTGCAGATAATTAAGTCGTTAAAAACCGGGGATCACGGTGGCTAGGTCTGTAAGACGCTGGCTTTCTAGCCTGGAGGTCGGGTGTTCGATCCCTACATTTGCTGAGAAAGTTCATCCAGATTTTCCGGCGTGGTTTCCCCTTGTCAGTGCTGCGGGACGGGGGGCCTGAGAAGGACAGCACTCTGGTCGTTCGGATGGGACGAAAAACCGAGGTCGAGGTCCCGTGTACAAATTGGCGTGCGCGTAAAAGATCCCTTGGCAGTTGGAATTCGATATAAGAGTAGGCCGTAGCGCCGCTGCCCGGGCAAAATTTCCCTCATAGCACACTGTATGGCGTATGCCCGTCTTCATTAGCCCAGTTTAGGAGCAAAACAGTAGGACGTTAAACCCCATTTCATTTCGTTAAAAACCCATTTCATTTCACCTTTTCCCTGTTAATGGATCCAATCTGATTAAAACAGATCCTAATTCGTTTCGTTTTTTATAGTTCCAAATTTCCTTTAACTTGTCTTTACTACACTAGGATCTGAAAGAGTTGTTATGTAACAAGCGTTCTTCTTGATGTGAGGAATTAGCCAGTGAAATGGTCTGTTAAGGCGAGTTAATTCTTGGCCTTTTTGTGCACGGAACTTTGGGTAAACCAAAGATTAATCAATGTCTGACGTCCTAGGGCCAAATGTCGCTCGTTTGACCCCTGACGTGAACCTCTCTCTATAACTTGTCAGATCTTCATGTAGTGTAGACCATCGAAAGTATAAAAAAACGAAACGAAATATAGATTTATATAAATTTTGAATCAGATTGTAATGGACTATATCAGATTCATAAAGTTCAAATTAAATTGATGTGGGTTTATTTTGATTGGGATAAAACACGTTGCACCATTTTTTGTTTGTTAATGATGATCTGCAGACGTCTAGACATATAGAAATATAGACATGGTCTAGACGACTGGTAGAAGCTAGACAGGTAATAACCACTAGAATTGTTGACCAACATTTGAAGTCACGGAGATTCATGCAACGTCATAGTAAATATATATAGACAGCTTTAGGTTGAACGCCAAGCATTATATTGTTAAACTAGGAACTGGTTGTATATATATGGTAACCCTCTTCTTTTTCTTGAGCTTCTATTTGTTTTGCGGTGATACCCTGCTAAAGAAAAAGCCTAAAGCCGAGCCCGCAACCCGTCGTACGACTAGGGTTTGGTAGCTCACAGACCAGCCGCAAGAAACCGGTTGAATTTTTTTTATGTGCAGGGCCCTTATTCACGAAAACTTAAACTAAGATACAATCGAAATTTTAAGAAATACTGCAATTCGATTGGCTGACCAGTAAAATCAATTTGCCTTAATCCAATTTGCATATTGGTCAGCCAATCGAATTGAAGTATTTCTTAAAATTTCGCTTGTATCTTAGTTTAAGTTTTCGTGAATAAGAGCCCAGGACTAAAAGTCTCTACGGCCAGTCTGCGATAATCAACGGTGCTGAACACACACAAGTGACGCCGTAGACTGCCCGTAGTAGCACGTACGGCGGTTTGTGAACTAGGCTTTAGTCTTCGCCAATTCAAGTATGGTCAACATCGAATGAATGACTTCGGGTTTCCTTTTCAGAATCTAGAATTCCAAGATGGCTGCGATGACGTCATGCTTGGTTCCCAGTTGATAGGCTAATCTTGTACTTGACCACTAAGACTTCAGGTTCCGACTGAATATCTGAAAAACCAATCGATCTGTTCCGTTTGGATTTTCCAATACGTAATCAATACAGATTTCTCACACGCAGGCTCAGAAACAAAACCCCAACTTATACCCTTTAAATGGGAGTGTCAACAATCCTATCCCGTATGGCTGGACATATGTAAGGCCCCAAATTAAAACGCTAGCAAGCAAGACAGAGGGGTCGGGTGGCCGAATGGTATAACGCGCACGCATTAGATCATAAGGTCTATCATTAAGACAAGTGGCGTGATTTCGATTCCCCGCCTTTCCAACCTAGTTGGTGTTCTTCGGGTCCCCAGTTTCCTTCCACTGCTAAAGACTCCTACGCAAAAGCGAAGTAAAATTGAACCTCATGCTAGTCCCGAAATGACATAGTTTGTGTCGAGTGGACATTAAACCCCATTTCTCTCTCTCTCCCTCTCAAACAAGACAAGTCAAGAGTTTAAATAGGCGATTATATACTGAAAGTTCAATTTATAACATTACTACACTTGACAAACATGTACAACTTTCTAGCAATCATAAAGTTTCATTTACATAATTAATATAATATATAGAGTAAAAGTTATAGTTTTAAAAAAAGCACCAAATTATGCAAAATTATTCACATTATTAACATGTTTTATGATACAAGAAATATATAGAGAAAAAACACAAATGCTGTAAAATATGGCAAAGTCCCTCAGAGTAACTGCAGTTTACGAACTATAGAACAATAGTTCTGAGAGATCCAGGCAACATTTCTCCCCTTGCGATTCAAAGCGTCATTAAAGTGGCTGATTTAGTGTCAAAATGCTGAACAGTATGACAATCAATACCCGGACGAGTAACTCACTTTTACGTCCTTTAGAACAGCAGTTCTCAGAGATCAAGGTAACGATTCTATACTTGCGATTCAATGAAGATACTCGATTGAACGTTCCAGAATTAAATTCTCTCAATTCCAAAAATAGTGTCAATCGAGTGAAAAGGAGAATTTCGGAGTAGGCCTACAACGCATGTGCTGACTGCATAAAAAATATCTCAACCAATCATGACAGCTGAAACATATTCTACTCACACCACCTCCTCTGTTAGGACTGGCAGAACTGTGACATGGCAGAATTCCGTATCACTTGATTGCAATTCTGTCAATTCGGAACATTCCGGATTGACAATCGAGCACACCCATTGGGGGTACTCAATTGAACGTTCCGGAGTTGAATTCTCTCAATCCCCAAAATAGTGACAATCGAGTGAAAAGAGGTATTTCGGACTACAACGCATGCGTCGGCTGAATAAGAAAATATCTCAACCAACCATGCAGCCGAAACATATTCGTTGCGTTTAATTACGTCACAATTCTACTCACACCACCTCCGTGGCAGGGATTGGCAGAACTGTGACAGGGCAATTCCGTCAATTCGGGACGTTCCAGATTGACAATCGAGCACCCGCAAAGTGTCCCAACAGTCGCCGACCTAGAGTTATAACATAAAAATGCTGTAAAGTATGACAATGCCACTCAGACTAACTCAATTTTACGCCCATTAGAACAGGAGATCCAGGTCACAGTTCGTCCCTTGCGATTCAAGATGTCCTTAATATCCCTGATGCAGTTAAAATAGACCAAGAAGAATAGCCCAGCTTTATTTTGTGGGAACCGCCCAACAGAGAAGTGGTTCCCGGATATACGGGTCACAGTTCCACCCTTGCAATTCTGAGTTTCCTTAAAGTCGCGGATCATCGTTTGCATTATTCCCACATTATCAAATTCAGATTGATTACTCCACATTTAATTTAAAAAAAAACATAAATCAAAATAACAACGATAGATATTTCAATTCATCATATTTTTGTGGGGATGCTCGATTCACAGCCCGGAACGTCCCGAATTGACAAAATTGCAATCGAGTGACGCGGAATTCAGTCCTGTCACAGTTCTGTCAGTCCCGACGACGGAGGTGGTGTGAGTAGAATTGTGACGTAATTAAACACGACGAACAGGTTTCGGCTGCATGGTTGGATGAGATATTTATATATCCAGCCGACGCATGCGTTGTAGCCCGAAGTACCCATTTTCACTCGATTGTCATTATTTTTGGGATTGAGAGAATTCAATTCCGGAACGTTCAATCGAGTACGCCCTGTATTTTTTAAATAAGCCTATTGAAAGGTATCGAACGAATTTTCGATTGGCATTCCTTTTAGAGATTCAACGTTCACAATATTGTCAATCTAATTAAAACACAGATCCTATTTCGTTTCGTTTTTTATAGTTCAAAATTTTGTGAAGGCCATCGAAAGTATAAAAAAAACGAAACGAAATATAGATCTGTATTGTCGGCGCGATATCACATCGGCGGAAGCGGACGTTAAATAAAGCTATTTCACTCACTCACTATAGATCTGTATTTTAATCAGATTGCAATATTGTAGTTTGCCAGAGACTAAAACATAGACACGTCATTAAGTTCACTTTACAAGGAATAGGTGAACAACAAAGTGAATATAATACCCAATGAAACCGTAATGTTTTCGCTACCTGGATTTATTGCAACAAAATAAAATACCTATTGCCAAGAAACATAATTATTGCTATCCAATAAGCTTCTGAATTTATTCTTTAAGCTCCTATATCATCGGTGTGGCTTATTCAAAGTAACTATTTCAATACAGCCCGATCCAGTGATCGTCCGTCCAGGGACGAATCCAGGAATATTTGTTGGAAGGGGTTTGGCAGGTTCCTGTTAAGGAAATTTGACAGTTGACAATGCTTGATGCCATCACCGCCTCAAAATTACGTAGGCATACATTGACATACACACTGAGCTTTTTAAAGAGAGAAACCCAACACCACGTTTGACGTCAATTTTTATAATGAATTTCACATAATGATGTCTATATCATTATCTCGCACTTTGAATGCCTATTCCATCCCACGATCTGAAGATAAAGGATAAAGCACACGACCGTTAGACTTTTCTCATAAAAGGTGTTGTTTTACAGTTATTTTTATGTAGCTGGCTGGGGGAGAGGGGGGGCAAACCATTCCTCTGGATCCGACCCTGCCGTCTTGGATTTTATTTTTATAAACGAAAGCAACTCACTTCCTCAATACCCTGCGTTATCTCGGTTACTTCCGGTAAATGGTGATACATTTTCCTTTATTTGAAGGTTACAAGGAATAGTGTTGTACGTCCATTAAGACCTAGTTCGCTACTGGTTTGTCGCAAGCTACACAAAATGGGGGACTTCATTTATAATGTATATATTATATAAGATATATTTTTTTAAAGGTCCATACATTTGTTTTATCACACATAACGCAAATGTCACACTAAACCTAAGATAAATGTTTAATTAAAAAGATAGGTAATCTGGCAAGAGTTGTTACTAGGAAACAAGATTATGTCCAATGATATATATATATTGTATATTCAAACGATGACGCATCAGTTGGGTGGGCTATGAATGAAAAGAAATGCCCGTTTCATGCGTGTTTGTAAGAGTTTTGAATTGACTTAATGATAATGTTACAATACTAAATGATTGATGAGAATATTGGACGCGATACACCCTCTCTCTCACTCAAGACCCCTACACACGGCCGACTTTCTTATGCTACGTTCCGGCCGACTTTCTTATGCTACGTTCTCACTATTAAGATTCGAGCTACGATTGAAATCGTGGTTTTTAATCGTGGAGTAATCGTGGTGACCCTATCACGTCTTGTCATATATTGTGGTCAGTCCTAGCAGTCGTGTTGATCGCATCGAAACGTATCCGAACGTTTCTGCACGTACAAGATCGTGGACTAAACAGGGATAACGCATCGCACGACAGTGAGAACCTAGCATTAAATAGCTAAATCTGCCTACTGCAGACCTTTCTTTAGGCCTTAAATGTTATATAAATTATTAATTAGATATTTATTAACATGACAAGACCATAATCAATCCTCTAGACCATCGGGTGGTTTCGAATTTAAGTAATTTAGAATAGTTCGAACATTTAATGATTTAATATAAAAATAGAGAGGCGCGCGGCTATGTCTCGAATAACCAATACCATGGTTACGATAATAAACAATCAACAATGATAACTTGGCTGAGAATGAAGTAATTTGAATGAAATTTTCAATATAATCATTTTGCATTATGTATTTTTAAACTATTATAGCTAGAATGGTCTACTCTTTATCTAAATCTTACACAATGCATCTTTAATTCACAATATATTAATTTGTCATTATCTATTTTTGAACTACATGTATTATAGCAAGAACTACCCGTTCTTTATCTAAATCTTACAGCATGCATCTTTAAGTAATCTTAACGTGTTTTTAATTTTCCGAAAAATGAAAATGACGACCAGGGATTCCAGGTGTAAAATTTATCAATGGATGCCAATAGAACCGGAAGCTATAACCAAGGATATAAGCAAAGCAAAGTAAAATGGCATAGTGCCTATAAATAAAGGCCTTAAATACGTTCTTTATATCAGCCTAGTTAGTAATAGGTTATAAACCAAACTGGGGTAGCCGAATCGTTTGTCATTGAGTCAACTGGCGTGGTTTCCATTCTCCTCTTGTACGAGACAAGGAGTAGGGTAGCCTGTCCAGCCTCGTGGGTTTTCTCCGGGTTCTTGGGTTTCCTCCCACAGCTAAATATCCCTACGCACAAGCGAATTATTTAAATGAAATTCAACACTTATGTTAGTTCCCAAATGACCTAGTTTGTGTCGAGTGGACGTTAAACCCTATTTCTCCCTTTCTCTACAAACCATATTTGTAATGCTAAACATGACTGTTTAAGAAGCAATAATTATAAAGCTTCGCTAATGACAAAAGCTCACATACAAAACTTTGGTTTTAAAGCATCAATCTGATTATAATACAGATCTATATTTCGTTTCGTTTTTTTTATACTTTCGATGGCCTACACTACAAGATGATCTGACCAGTTGCAGTGGGATGTCGTGTCAGGGTTAAACGACCGGCTTTTGACCCTATGACGTTAGACATTGATTAATCAACCAGCGTTGGCGTTTCTAGTGGTTTACCCACAGTTCCGTGCATGACACGCCAAGAGCTCGTCGTTTCATTGGCTAATCCCTCACTTCAACCACAACCCCAGTAATATAACAATCTAGATCCTAGTGTAGTAAAGACAAGTAAAATGAAATTTTGAACTATCAAAAAAACGAAACGAAATAGGATCTGTGTTTTAATCAGATTGTAAAAACATAGGCAACAAAATACATTTTAGCCATGCGAATTTCTCAAAAACATGATAAGTAGTATCATGTGTTCTACAAGTGGTATCAGATGTTCTAGAAGAAGTAGTAGGCCTATGAGATTAAAACTGATGGCTCACACATTAAAATTATAAACATCATTCAGAACAATTAACTGGTATAAATAAATTGTTAAACATATTTCATCATCCAAAAACACAATGAAATTCACAGATCGTACATGCAACTAAACTATACTCAATCATCCTTAATAAAAAACAAAAAATATAAATCTGATTAGAATACAGATCTATATTTCGTTTCGCTTTTTTTTATACTTTCTATGGCCTACACTACATGAAGATCTGACCAGTTGTACTGGAAGGTCACGTCAGGGGTCATATGAGCGGCCTTTCACCCTATGACGTCAGACATTGATTAATCAATCAACGTTGACGTTTCTAGTGGTTTACCCACAGGTCCGTGTATAGCACGCTAAGAAGCCGCCGTAACAGACTGTTTCATTGGCTTATCCCTCATATGAACTAAAACGCCGGTAATATAACAAACCTTCCAGATCCTAGTGTACTAAAGACAAGTAAAACGAAATTTTGAACTATAAAAACGAAATAGGATCTGTGTTTTAATCAGATTGCAAAAATATTTAAGGATGCATTATGTAAGATTTGGATAACAAGTTGACCGTTCTTGCTATAATAGTTCAAAAATAGATAAATTTGCTATAATAGTTCAAAAATGAATAAATTGAAAATTTCATTCAAATTACTTTATTCTGAGCGAAGTTATGACTGTTTGAAGATGTGGCGTAAATCGTTTATTTGATAACCGAGACTAAGATATTTATTCATTTTATCGCTAATTTTTTAAATCTCACGGGTTTTCAAATCCATTTATATCTCGGCCATCCGATGATCCAGCGGGTTTATCATAGGCTTGTCATGTGAATGAATTTAAAGATGCATTATGTAAAAACTAAATCTTTTTTCTAGCTTTTAAATGTTATATTATCTAGACATTTATTCACATGAAAATCTCATAATCAGCCCTCTAGACCATAGGATGGTTTAGATATTGAATGGTTTAGACCATCCACGCCATATAAGCGGTTAACGTTAAAATGGGCGTCATTCAACATCGGCTATTTCTTGTCAAAACTTCACATACTCATAACTTCGCTCAGAATAAATTAATTTGACTGAAATTTTCATTATATTCATTTTTCCGTATCTATTTTTAAAGTACTATAAAATGAAATGAAATGGAGTTTAACGTCCTTCTGTTCTGCTCCTACTGGGAGCCGTGTGCTATGAGGGAAATTTTGCCCGGAGAGCGGCACTGTGGCCTACTCTTATTTCGAAATTCAACTGTCAATGGTACTTTTATGTGAACGCCAATATGTACACGGGACCTCGGTTTTTCGTCCCATTCGAACGACTATATGTTGTCCCTTGCCAAACTCTCCGTTCTACAACAGGGAACCACACCAGAAAATCCCGATGTACTTTCTCGGCCAACGCAGGGGTCGAACACGGGACCTCCAGCCAAAATCCTACTCACTGAGACACCGTGGATCCTTGAAGTATTATAGCAAGAACGGTCAGCTCCTTCTCTAAATCTTACATAATGCATCTTTAATTCACAAGAAATATAATACAAAATGGTACCTCAAGTAGACAAAATGCTGACGATATGTTTGTACCATTGACTATTATTAGGCCTAAATATCCTTAACAGGCCTATATGGTAAGCATTAGTTTTATGTAGGCTTAGTTTAAAATGTTCCAAAAGTTCTTTTGTTCAGAAATTCAACACTAACGCGTGAAATAGTCTGTTTCTTATTTGTTTACACACTATAAACAACTGTTCACTTTTTATTCATTTTACTTTCCATTCGCACCTTTGCCCGATTTCGGTAACATGGGTGCGCGTTCTTCTTCTATAGGCGATAAACGCTGATCCAATTTATCAAGAACGACGTCAGTCAGTGACGTCGTTTGACCGCCTGCTGCTGCGTCTTGAGCGCCATCTTGGGCACCATCTTGTTTAGGCAGAAGCTTTGCCGAAGCAGCCTCATCTTCCGATACTTCCGCGTCCGTCTCGTCCATATATTTCATTCTATCAATACCATTTACGTGTTTATCTGAAATGGAAATGTTTCTGTAGTTAGATAGGTTGATAATATTCTAATAAACAGTCCTACAAATTATTGCCCTACAAAAACCACAGAACAACAGCCTACAACCACATGAAAAATATAATGCACAATGTGACAAAAGTAACCTGGATATCAATATGAAAATCTGGCACAGGTCAGTGATAATCCCGTTCCATATAGCGTATGGCCAGTAGGCTAGCTATGATTTTATACCGTGTAAACACTCGCGTGTTCTGCTGGCCGGAGAGTCCGTCTTCATTAGCCCAGATGAAGCAGAAACGTAGGATGTTAAACCCTATTTCATTTCATTTTCTCGGATAAGCTACTTTTAAATATACCGGAGCCATGTTGATCGCGGGTTCGGTCCCACGGTGTTGGCCTAGAAAGTCTATTGGAATTTTTCGGAGTGGATTCCCCTTGTCAGTGGTGCAGCTGTCTAGTCGTCCGGATGGTACGAAAAATCGAAGTTCCATGCAGATCTACATATTGGTGTGCATATAAAAGATCCGCTGACAATTGGATTTCGATATTAGAATAGGGCATAGCGCCGTTGTCCGGGCAAAATTTCACTGTATGGAGTATAACCGTCTTCATTAACCCAGTCAGAGAAAAACAGTAGGACGTTAAACCCCATTATATTTAAATATATCGCCAACTATTTATCATTATGATCGGAGCAGAACAGTAGGACGTTAAACCCCATTTCATTTATTTATCATTAGCCAGACCAAACTCTGATTGATGTCGTCAAAGAAATAATAGACAACGTTAATTAGAAAAATGAAGAATCAATATGTTTATCATGGACGTTAGGCTATACAAGATAAAACATATTAAGAAATATAATAAAACGATCAATAACCACTGTGTTCTTTAAATGGCATTTAGTAACTGGATAGAGTAACAACAAAACACATACTTATGGAAAACAGCTACTAGTGTATGTTGTTGTATTTTGTCTATATATATTTGCCTCATACCTGTTTTACTGTATTAGCTTGATAACGTTGAGAGAATACTCTACGAAACGTCGCCTTAAATACACTAGTAGCTGTTTTTCATAAGTATGTGTTTTGTTGTTAATAACCACTGTGTTAACATTTGTGTACGTCTAATCAATCATTTAATGGTTACGTAATGAAACATAATATCTCATGGCAGAGGGTTGTCAGAGAGAGAGAGAGAGAGAGAGAGAGAGAGAGGGGGGGGTAACGTTCACTCGACACAAACCAGGTCATTTCGGGACTAACATATGGTTCAATTTTTTTTCAATAATTCGCTTGTGCGTAGGGGTCTTTAGCAGTGGGAGGAAACCGGAGGGCCCGGAGATAACCCACGAGGCTGCACAGGCGACCCTACTCCTTGTCACGTACAACCGGAGAATCGAAACCACGCCAGTTGACTCAATGACAGATCCCATGATACATCGCGTACGCGCTAACCCTTCCGCCATTCAACCACCCGAGGTTAGTCGGTGTCCGGGACTGGTTAGGTGTGAGTGGTGTACTCCTCGAAGAAAATTTCGAAAAATCGGGTGGTCAAAGGTAGTTTGTGGCGCATATCTAGACCCGAATGTAACATTCAATTTCAGCAGCTAAAACTTGGTGAACTTTGGATCATGAGTGGACTCCCCAAGCGCTCATAAAGCCGCCACCCGGTGGTGTGAGAAGCTTCCCCCCTCCCATCACCCCCCAACTAACAAACAATAACATGTTTCATAGAAACATAGTATTAAGATAATTTTTTACGCTGTTATATATCGGTGTAGGGTTGGGGGTGGCGGTTGGGGTAGGGGAGCCAGGACCCTACCTAGATCCGACACTATCCGTGCCCCACGTTGGCTCAGTCGATAAGGTCCTGGCTCACTAACAAGGACCTCGCGGTTTTGGACAGAGAGAGTACCTTGTGATTTTCCAGCGAGGATTACACCTTGTGAGCAGTGCAGGACGATGGGCCTGGCACAGAGCAGTGCCTGGTCATTTGGATGGAACGAATAAATGAGGTCCCGTATACACGTATGGCATATGCCTGTCTTCATTAGCCCAGTTGGGGCAGAACAGTAGGATGTTAAACACCATTTAATTTGTCAGTCTCCCCTTGTCAGTGGTGCGGAGGACGGAGGACCTGACAGGGACAGCTGTCTAGTCGTTCGGATGGGACGAAAAAGTGAGGTCCCGTGTACACATTTGCATGCACGAAAAAGATCCTTTGACGGTTGGAATTCGATATAAGAGAAGGTAGGCCGTAGCGCCGCTTGTCCTGGCAAAATTTCCCTCACAGCACACTGTATGGCGCATGCTCGTCTTCATTAACCCAGTTCGATAGAACAGAAGGACGTAAAATCCCATTTCTTTTGTCAGTTTCAACACATGACACAATGGAGAAGATTCTCGAATGTCTACTCTGTTTTTGATTACTATTAGTGATGTAGTACATCTATTTTAACAGTCGCAAAATGATTATTCACAATAGACAAACGACCGGACTAGGACGACAAGAGAAGAAGATTGAAGTGAACGGGCCAAGAGTAATTCCTATCAAAAGCAACACAACTGTTTATCTACGTACCTAGTTCAGTAGAGCCACTCCGAGGTCTCGCTGACTTTTTCGAATCGTCTGCCGTCTTGTTGGTTCCATTAGGTTCCAAATCAAGTGTTTTGATATATCGACCATTTGTATCTGGTTCATCGTAACTTCTGGTGTTGGCTGTACTCATGTCGTCAAATTCTATGGCTTCTTTACTTCCGTTAACTTCTAAGTCCTTATTATCACCGTCGTCCTATAATACACACAGAATCAACACGGTGTATAATTCAAATCGATAATTTACACTGTGACGTAAACACCTAATTCGTGTTAAACGTAGTAGACGGTTTAAGACGATAATTATGTAGAAAAATAGAATTCTGTTATCTCGAGATCTTCAGTTCGTTTAACGTCAGGTATATGTTATCAATATAAACTACTGGTGTTGCTTCTCTCTGCATTGGCCGGGAAAGTGCATCGAAATTTTCCGACGTGGTTTCTTCTTGTCAGTGGTGCAAGACGGAGGGTCTGACAAGGCCAGCTGTCTAGTCGTTCGGATGGGACGAAAAGTCGTGTATACATTGGCGTGCACGTAAAAGATCCCTTGGCAGTTGGACTTCGATGTAAGTGAAGGCCATAGTGCCGCTGCCCGGGCAAAATTTCCCTCATAGCACACTGCCCGTCTTCATTAGCCCAGTATAGGAGCAAAACAGTTCTTCAATTCGTTTGATTTCCGGTTGAAAATCAACCAATGCTGCTGCTTCTACCATATTCTACATAATTACAATTTTGTACAGCAACATTCGAAATATAGATTTATTGAAAATCTACCTTGCGGCAAGGACCTTATTTAATAAAAATATATTTTACAACCCTCACTGTTATTTTCAGACCTTAACACTAAAAAACGATTTCCCTTTTCGTATTTTTGGCGATTTCACATTTATGAATAAGGGGGGTTGGGTGGCTGAATGGTTAGCACGTGCGCGCTGTACCATAAAGTCTGTCATTGAGTCAACTGGCGTGGTTTCGAATCCCCGGTTGTACGTGGAAAGGAGTAGAGTCGCCTGTCCAACCTTGTGGGTTTCCTCCGGGTCCTCCGGTTTCCTCCCACTGCTAAAGACCCCTACGCGCAAGCGAATTATTGAAATAAAATTAAAAACCATGTGTTAGTCCCGAAATGACCTAGTTTGTGTCGAGTGGACGTTAACCCCCCTCTCTCTCTCTCTCCCTCTCTCTCTCTCTCTCTCTCTCTCTCTCTCTCATATTTATGAATAGAAAGTTTCGTAACTATTTATGATCATAAACAATCTGATTAAAACACAGATCTATACTTCGTTTCGTTTTTTTATACTTTCGATGGCCTACACTACATGAAGATCTGACAAGTTGTACTCGAAGGTCGGGTCAGGGGGCGTACGATTGGTTTTTGACCCTGTGACGTCAGACATTGATTAATCAATCAGAGTCGACGTTTCTAGTGGTTTACCCACAGTTCCGTGCATCTAACGCCAATAACTCGCCGTAACAGACCGACCGTTTCATTGGCTAATTCCTCACTTCAACCAGTATGTGGATTATATTACAACTCATCCAGATTCTAGTGTAGTAAAGCCAAGCAAAACGAAATTCTGAACTATAAAAAACGAAACGAAATAGGATCGGTGTTTTAACCAGATTGCAACATAAACGGGTAAGTTTAATATGAAAATCGTCATGTAGGCCTACCTTTATCGCCCTTTATGAGAGAGAGAGAGAGATGGGGTTTAATGTCCACTCCACACAAACTAGGTCATTTCGGGACTAACATATTCGCTTGCGAGTAGGGGTCTTTAGCAGTGGGAGGAAACCGGAGGACCTGGAGAAAACCCACGAGGTTGGACAGGCGACCCTACCGAGGATTCGAAACCACGCCAGTTGACTCAATGACAGACATTATGATATACCGCACACGTGCTAACCATTCGGCCATCCAACCCCGCTGAGCCTTTATGACATTTCCGAATGATCCACTGCTTTCCACTAAACCTAGTCCAAATAAAAGCCGGGCAACAATCTGCTGTTTTTGACAAATTCAAGTGGAAGTAATATTTGTTTTGTTGCCAATTAGATATGTTTAATAAAATATGGATTAGAGACGTGTCGTTCAGTTCCTATCACCCTGGGTGATATGAGACAGACGATGTATATGTCACGTCTAGGTCCATTACAGGTAAATCTCACCTGTCTCAAGGTCACTATAAACAGTATTTATAACTGTTTATGTTGATATTTAGTTCACCTGTACCTGGGACCTTATTCGCGTTGATTGTATCGAAAAGTATCCGCAAGTATTTGCACGTACCAGATCGTGGACTAAATGGGGATAATCCCGTCGTAACGCATCGCAAAACAGTGGGAACCCAGCATTATAACTGTTTTTGTTGGTATTTAGTGCAGCTGTACATTATGGGAGATAAGGTAAAGAACTGGCAGTTCGGATTATAATAGTTAAAAACTAAATAATGTAAAGGGAATATACTGAAAATTTCAGTTTAATTGCTTCACTCTAAGCATGTTTAATATATTTTAGTTTAAATTTTCACGAATAAGGCCCCTAGCTTCTTCAGGACGGGATGACGGTAAATAAGTCCTACACGGTATTACCCAAAATAGCAACAGTCACGGAGGATGGACATCGACAATCAGAGAAAAAAGATTTAAACGCAGATTATAGGCGGCACTGACTTATTTTCACCACAACCCGTTAATAAATGCTGAATTGTGTCACATTGGGGTAAGCATTGGGGCTAGGTCCAGGGTTCGGGTTAGGGTTGGGATTAGCGATAGTCCTATTTACATCTCGTGACCTATGACGAAAAATTGAGCCGGCCTTATCATTTAACACTACTAACCCCCCGACTTACTTTTAACCCCGTCAAGTTGTGACAGAATTGAAATCCCAAAGTTCGATCTTGACCCAAGCTGAGATACTAATCTTGAAAATTTTAATCGGATGCCAAGTGCACTGACCCCCCGCGACGACCCACCTGTAACCACACCCATCCGACAACTTACCTGTATAATTTTAAAGGAACGTTTCCGTCTGTAATATCGACTGGCTACAAAACTTAACGTAAAGAATGCTACAGCACCGACTACTACACCAATAATAATAATAGCTCTTTGTCGATTATCTACCCCTGCCGCGTGGATCTCTTCTTCCTGAAAGTATAAAATAATATCTAAATTCTCACCTCAGAAGGACTTGATATATATCATCTGGGGTAATCAAGCAAAGAAAGCTATTAACCGTGGGAGGAATCTAATAATATACATCGAAATAATCAATATCTTATATAAAAGCAGGGTAATACAAGATAAAGTACCAATATGGGCTTCGTAAAATAGGGTAATACAGGATAAAGTACCAATATGGGCCTCGTAAAATACAGTACCGGGTGCAAATATGGACCTCGCAAAAAACAGCATAATGTACGGATACGTTCGTCGAGTACGTATATATATTATGATATCCAAAAATATTAGCACAACCGTAAAGCTGTACCACTTTGTTTCACGGTAAACGACGAAAAGATAAAGGTAAATACAGTATCAAGTACGGATACAGAAATCGTGCAAGTTTAATTAGACTGAGTGACAGCCAAGGGGGGCATCCTTCACACCCCAACTTATATGTCCTGATTTTCAACCGAGGATGTGACCCATAGACCTACCAAATAGTCCTCCGTCTTCTTATATTAGTGATTAACGTCCGCTTCCATCGATGGTGATATCGAAGGAAAGTTGTCTTAATTCATTATGGTTAGCGCACGCGTAGGGGTCTTTCCTGTCAGAGATACCCGGAGTACCCGGAGTAAATCCACGAGGTTGGGGAGACGCTCCTATCTCCAAGCCACATACGGTCATACCAGGGATTGAAATCACGACCGCAAGCCATAGGTGACCGACCAGTTAGAGGTCGAAGCACGACACTCGGGATCACTAGGCCATCCCAACCCTAGTCCGGGTATCCTTCCATTGTTATACTATCGTACTAAACATGATTGGGGTCAGCCACAGTACGATCTCTGTCTTGCCGTTTGGACACCGCTCATCAAATATTCCTACGTCACCCACGAAACAAGGGCCAAAGCTATGTTTAGCCTTTCTCTCCCTTTTCCTTTTTGCTCCTTTTGCATGGCGATTTTTGTTGACTTTTTGGTGTAGAATCGAAGAAAATGGTTTGAAAATAGATTTTCTGTCAGGTTTTGGTGAATATTCATGATTTTGAGGCGGGAGGATACGAGAGTTGAGAGGTTGGTTAGGTTGAAATGTAGGGCCGAAAATTGCATGTTTATTGGACTTTACTTCCAGCTTGTGTATCTTAGGTTTTTATTAATGATGAACCTCATACGTGATTTTGGGCAAGCGGTTTCCACATGTTGCTCCATCGGTGGAATAAAGCTACCCAACAAAACTTTGGGAAAAAGTTAGAGCCGGTCTGAGAGACGAGAATTAACATTAAAGTCAATGGGGAAAGCATTAGTGATCTGTGTCTTGTCTGTGTGTGTGACAAGGCTGTGACTTATATGCCTTAGTTTTGAAAATATGAAGACTAAATTCTCAGAAAATATGTAGAAAATATTTTGACTACAGAAAAAAAAAAAGAAGTTCAATTTTAAAAAATCAAAGTTTGGAGAAAAATTGTGATTTTACTGCAAATTTCTCAATTTTCAGTTGTTTCGACATCTACCGTTATCTCCCCATATAACTTACTTTAGTCATTTCATCATCACCATCATCATCATCATCATCATCGTCTTCTTCTTCAAGTGGAAATAGAACAACCACTTCACTATCTCCGTCACCACCTCTCCTCTTGCCACCTGATAAATAGTATAATATAAACATGATATTATTCAAAAGTAGAAATTATTTATTTTGTATAGTTGGTTTCCATACGGCAATGTGGAGATAGAAATGGGGTGTTACGTCCAGTCGACACAAACTATGTCATTTACGTCCAGTCGACACAAGCTATGTCATTTCAGGACTAACATATTGACCAATTTATTTCAATTGGCACGAAGCCGAAGACAACCCTATTCCTTGTCACTTTCAAGCTTGGGATCAACACTGCACGACTTGTCTCAATGACACTTGCCTTATAGTTTTAAGCGCCCGCGTTAGGCCCATAAAACCCACCCATATAGCCAAAAGATATTTTTGTCATGTTCCACGATGATAGCGCGTATCACAGGGGCAGCTTGCGTCCGGCCAGAGAATCCATTTGTTGTCGTTACTCAATTTTTCTGGATTTGTTTTTGAAATTGTGTCTTCTAATTTAAAGAAGGGGGTTGGATGGCCGAATGGTTAGCGCGTGCGCGTTGTATCATAAGGTCTGTCATTGGACAACTGACGTGGTTTCGATTTCCCGGTTGTAGGTGATAAGGAATAGGGTCGCCTGTTAAACCCCGTGGGTTTTCGCCGGGTCCTCTGTTTTCTCCCAACTGCTAAAGACCCCTACGGGCAAACGCATTATTGAAATAAAATTGAACCACGTGTTAGTCCAGAAATGACCTAATTTGTGTCAAGCGGACGTTACCCCAGTTCTCTCTCTCTCTCTCTCTCTCTCTCTCTCTCTTTCCCTTCAAGAGATACGAATAATTAATTATTTGCATGTCTTACCTGGTGGATGTGTTCTGTATTTATCTGATCCAATAATTACGGTATCCACTGTATCATTGACTTCCGGGTAGTCTGTATCGATTACCTCCCCTTCTCCAGATGACGCTAGATCTTCAAGGAACGGATATGTCGTCGGCGTTAACAGGACGTTGATCTCCCCACCACTCCCTTCCAATATATCATCGGGTTTTAATTCAACGGAATCCTTCAATAACTCGTTAGAATCTTCATTTTGATTTGAATGAAAGGGAAGCAACTCGTCTTCGGCGACCTCTGCTGGCGGCAATGTTATTTCCAGATCAAAAAAGTTTTCTATCACTTCGCCACTTCCTTCGTCCGTGATTTCAACCTTTTCATCATTTTTATTTTTGGCGTCTTTGTCCTTGACATTGTTTACATCCGTTTCATCAGAAGCGCCGCCATCTTTGTTTGTAAAACCCTCGTCTGCTTGCATTCCCGCCACATCCTCATCATAACCCAAACAAAATTCCAAATAAATTTTTAAATTTTTGTGAAGTTTGGAGGCACACGACTCACAAAACACGTCCGAGTTTTGCGTACATTGTTTTAATTCGAACAGACCTGGTCCACATTTAGAACAAGGGTTACACTCGGTTCTTAGATTGTATTGGTGATTAAACATACCGTGTGGACACGGCTTACATATCGTGTCACTTTCACGGCTACAGTTTTTATGGACGAAATATCCTGGCTGACAAGTAGAACATTTTGGTTCATTTGTATTGGGCAACTGGGTCGGACGTGCCTGAAACAAAGACAAATATTATATTAGTAGGTTATTTAGAACAGCTATAGGTAAATCCGGCACTGGAACCATGGCACATTCACACACTGATCAGAAGTGAATATTCGCTAGGCCGCTACAATCACTGATAGGGATGACATCGGTGAGACTTAATGAGCTCGCAATATTCTTTGCCCATTTACACTAAATAGGAAATATGTTTTATTTAAATATACTTCAAACACTTTTATTTATTTTTCTAATACTTTAAAAAAAAAATGTTCTAAAATTTAAATTGCAGATGGAAAAGGAGGAGTAAAAGTTATGTGTTAAAAGTTATTGGAGAGATGGGTTTTAACGTCCACTCGACACAAACTAGGTCATTTCGGGACTAACATATGGTTCAAATTTATTTCAATAATTCGCTTGTGTGTAGAGGGTCTTTTAGGATTGGGATGAAACCAGAGTACCTGGAAAAAACCCACGAGGTTGGACAGGCGACCCTACCCCGTGTCACCCTTATGATGCAACGAGCACGCGCTAACCATTCGGCCATCAACCCCCAGGAAAAGTAGGACGATCAAAGGAAAAATTTCATTCAAGTTTGTAAAAAAAAAACACACAAAGTAACTGCTACGCTGGAGAGCAAACGGTAAAATTTCTACTGTAAAAAAAATCTGTTTTCGTTTTATTTGCGTTTGACTGAGACGTGTCTTAGGACAATATTGTAGTTGAGACCGTTGTTTGTCAACAGCATTTCAGTTAAACACGATGTTTGATTACTGCACTGTGTTGACAAGCAGACGACATGTACGTTCGACGTTTGGTGTGAAGATTAAACGCCTGGAACATGGAAAGTCTTCGATTGAACAGTTTACGTTGACCTGATTAATGAGGTTTATGTCTCTTGCATCTTACATCCACAGTGTTTGAAAATCAAATGAAATGAAATGAAACGAGGTTTAACGTCCTACTGTTCTGTTCCTATACTGGGCTAATGAAGACGAGCATACGTAGTACAGTGTTTTTTATCAACGTATTAAAGGGATATTTCACCGACAAGAGAGAGAAAGGGAGAGAAATGAAATGAAATGGGGTTTAACGTCCTACTGTTCTGCTCCGAACTGGGCTAAATGAAGATTGGCATACGTCATACAGTGTACTATGAGGAAAATTTTGCCCAGACAGCGGCACTACGGCCTAGTCTTATATCGAATTCCAACTGTCAAGGGATATTTTACGTGCACGCCAATGTGTACACGGGACCTCGGTTTTTCGTCCCATCCGAACGACTAGACAGCTGTCCTTGTCAGGCCCTCCGTCCTGCATCACTGACAAGGGGGAACAACGCATGTAAATCTGGATGAACTTTCTCGGGCAATGCAGGAATCGAACACCCGACCTCCAGGCTCGCGAGCCAGCGTCTTACCCACTTAGCCACCGTGATCCCCACACACTGTTTGGGGGAGACATAAACAATATGTTAGGAAGAGGGGTTGTCACTCCACATTCAGATATTTTAGGGAGACACATCGGCAATATTTTAGACATCAACAATCTTTTAGGGGGGGGCATCACAATTATTTTAGGGAGACATCCATTAACAGTAATTTAGTGAGACATCCATCAACAATATTTTAGGGAGACATCAACAATATTTTAGGGAGACATCCATCAATAGTATTTTAGTGAGACATCCATCAACAATATTTTAGGGAGACATCAACAATATTTTAGGGAGACACCCATCAACAATATTTAGGGAAACATCCAAAATATTTTAGGGAGACATCAACACTATTTTAGGGAAACATCAGTAATATTTTAGGGGGACATCAACACTATTTTAGGGAGACATCAACAATATTTTAGGGAGACACCAACAGCATTTTAGTGAGACATCAGCAATGTAATAGGGAGACACCCATCAACACTATTTTAGGGAGACATCAACAGCATGTTAGTGAGACATCAGGAATATTTAGTGAGACATCAACAGCATGTTAGTGAGACATCAGGAATATTTAGTGAGACATCAACAACATTTTAGTGAGACATCAGGAATATTTAATGAGACATTAACAATATGTTAGAGAAAGAACTTAAACATAGCCATCAGAATACAGTTAACTGAATATGAATATCATTTCTATAAAAAAAAATATTAAAAGTACAACTTAAAAACAAAACGTTAGCGTACACGTTGGAACAAGCTGAAATATCGCTGACCGTGCAAAATCTGCATCATAACACACTGCATGATGCGTGTTCGTCTTCATTACACGAAAAGGAGTACGGTCCCCTGTCCAACCTCGTGGGTTTTCGCCGGTTCCTCTGGTTTCCTCCCACTGCTAAAGACCCCTACTCGCAAGCGAATTATTGAACTGAAATTGGATCATATGTTAGTCCCGAAATGACCTAGTCAGCGTCGAGTGGACGTTAAATCTCTCTCTCTCTCTCTCTCTCTCTCTCTCTCTCTCTCTCTCTCTCGCCATGAAGCGAATGCACCCTATATAAATGCTAGCTATATAAAATACTCCCGCTGTGTTATTCTGATCCTATGGATGTACCACATCTGACCCCAGAAATGATTACATTCTATAAAGCATGTGATTTAGATCATGTTGTTTAGAAAGGAAGGACAATTAGCTAGAGGGAATTATTAACATCAACTATATATCGTGTACTTCATACCCACTTCCATGTTTATCTAAAGGCACAAACACCCTGATTGTTCATACACTCCACTACACTAAAAACAAAATCTCTAATATCTTAAAGTAAAGATTGTTACTGTGTAATTAATCATAGGTGGAGAGAGAGAGAGAGAGAGAGGGGGGGGGAGAGAGAGAGAGCTGTCGTTGTGGTATGTGACGTGGTGTCAACCCCAAGCTTGAACGCGATAAAAGACAGAGAAGAGAGAGAAGGGGTGGGGATAACGTCTACTCGACACAAACTAGGTCATTTCATTGGCGTGCACGTAAAAGATTTCTTAACAGTTGGAATTCGATATGAGAGTAGGCCATAGCGCAGCTGTCCGGGCAAAGTTACCCTCATAGCACCCTGTTTGGCGTATGCCCGTCTTCATTAACACAGTCGGAGCAGAACAATAGGACGTTAAACCCCATTTCATTTCGTTTTGATACAAGTACTGTTGATTGTGTATGTATGTTCATATATTTAATCTTTATGCTGAGAGGTTGGGCCTTTAAACTTTTTTTTTCCATTTTGTTTGGTTATATTATAAACTCAATATAAAGATTCAGTTTTAATGTACCCAGCATTTTGTTTATATTATAAATCATGGTAATAATCAAAAATCGGTAAAATGAACCGGTTTGGTTCCTTCCACATGAGACACGGGAGAATATGTCTACGGTTACGTTTTCATAAGGTACCTTTTCCATAGCAGCTGAGATTTTTATCATCCTATTCGTTCTCTTTTTGTCGTTGTCTTTACGAAATATCTATCTATCTATACTAATATTTGTGACTGTCGTTTGTCTGTCTGTTTGTTTGTTTGTCTGTCTGTCTGTCTGTCTGTTCGGGGTTGGCGGCTACATTAGGTCTGCCCCGAGTCCGAAATTTGGGGTTTAGGGAAGCTCGGACCGGGGAGTAACATAGGCCAGGTGGCGTTAGTCTACCACTTCCGGTTTCGGAGTTATGATCCCCGAGCGAAGCCGGGCATTCTTCTAGTATAATATAAAAACTAACAGTTACTATGAACTTCCATCTAAATAGTTAAACGAAAAAGGGTAACCGAAAGGGTAAATGATAGGGTAAAGGGGTGAAAAGGGGTGTGTAAAGGTAAATGAAAAGGCTTTTGTAAAGGTAAATGGGAAGGGGTATTTGAAGGTAAATGAACAGGGGTATGTAAAGGTAAATGAAAAGGGGTGTGTACAAAGGTAAATGAAAAGGGGTATGTAAAGGTAAATGAACAGGGGTATGTAAAGGTAAATGAAAAGGGGGTGTACAAAGGTAAATGAAAATGATTGTGTAAAGGTAAATGAAAAGGGGCATGTACAGGCAAATTGAAAGGGGTGTGTAAACGTAAATTTTAAAAAATTTCTAACCAAATCTAAGCAAGCTTTCGTGGGTTATATTACAAAATGGTGATCAGCATTAACATTTAGTTAAACAAACTGGTTACAAACGTGTTTTTTTTCCACATCGTTTTAGAAATTGGGTTGCAGTCTGTCTGCCGTAATAACTGTCGTCTGCTACAGCTGTAAATATGACAGGTAAAGACATGACAGTTTATAACATAAGGTGTGTTACTGTTGTAAAGATCAAAGGAAGTTGCCGACACAGGTAAATCAATTAACCTGACAAGAAACACACTTCTTATAGCCGTTTATGACGTGTTTTATTTAATATTTTAGTCTATTCTTAGAGTTATTAAACTGTCAAGTAACATTTCGTCAGAATAATTTTATATTAAATGATTGATGCACTATGCTACGGCAGTGGCGTTAAACCCGCTCCGTCCTGCGTGGGGGGAGGGGGGAATGGCCGAATGGTTAGCACGCGCGCTGTATCATAAGGCCTGTCATTGAGTCAACTGGCGTGGTTTAGATTCCCCGGTTGTACGTGACAAAGAGTAGGGTCGCCTGTCCAACCTCGGGGGTTTCCTCCCACTACCAAAGACTCCCACGCGCAAGCGAATTATTGAAATAAAATTGAACCATATTTTAGTCCCGAAATGACCTAGTTTGTGTCGAGTGGACTTTAACCCCAATTTCTCTCTCTCTCTCTTTCCTGCGTGATCACAGGCAACTGCTTATTGATGAGTTCACAATGGTCATTAGTCGGACGACCATGGTTAGTCCGGTGTTTATTGTCCCGATACAAAATGAAAATGAAATGAAATGGGGTTTAATGTCCTACTGTTCTGCTCCTATACTGGGCTAATGAAGACGGGCATACGCCATACAGTGTGCTATGAGGGAAATTTTGCCCGGACAGCGGCACTATCGTCTACTCTTATATCGAATTCCAACTGCCAAGGGATCTTTTACGCG